AAAAAAAAAAAAAAAAAAAAAAAAAAAAAAAGGAGAGCCCTATATGCTCATAATCAAACTGGAGACTCACAAAAACTTTTCCCAGCACTTAACCAAAAGCTCAAAATTGAAAAAAGCGCGTAAACAGAAAATGACAGATATCATAGGCGTTCATTACTGCTATAAAACAATTAATCAAAACTGCTCACCCAGCAATCCGGTTTCGCATTCTTTTGCTCGGAATAACTGCAATCTCCTCACAAATCCTCTTGTTGGTATGAAAATCATGAGTAAGTTTTGTGTAATATTTCTCGATTATGACACGAGATGCTTTTTTTACTGTTTTTGTTCGCACACGGCCGCAAACCATCCTTACCGATTATTTACCACCAAATAAGCCCCTAAAGTGACGGAGATAAAAAATGTACCAATTGTCTAAGAAAAAAAAAAAAAACGAAAGCGAACGGAGGCAACGATCCACAATAAAACCCTTGTCAATGATAAAAGATTCATTTATGAGCATATTACTGGTTTCTAAAATATAAGTCAAGAAATGATGAAGCAGGGTATCAAAAAAATAAAAAAGTAAATAAACAAAAGTAAGAATAAAAATAAATAAAAACAAAAGTAGAATGCGCATACTTACCAAGTTAATCATAATTTAGTTAATTCAAACTTTCCTTAAAGAAATGTCATCCACCTATAACTAAGTTAATCTTCCAGTAACAAATGGGGGGAAAAAAGAGAGCAAATAGCAAATTTTTACACATTAAACAACCTTTTCCGACCAATTAAGTCGCCTTTTTAAGCACCTTTCATTTTGTCTGATTCAGAAAAAACATCAAAAGTTTTTCGTAGTTTTTTTATTATTGCTTCCAAATATGTTTCAGGTAAGATTATAGCATCCAAATGCCTCCTGATGCATAGTTAAACGAAAAGAAAATGATGCAAATCTTGCTTCATAAACTAGTGTTACATCGTTAGAAAAGCCAAAAAAAAAAAAAAAGGAAAAAAATCGTCCA